ATGGGAGGCTTTCAAGAAAAGAATGTCACATTCTGCCAAGGCCACGCCAGCCGTGACAGTCAGTTGGTAACATCCCCAGATAACGTTCTTGCCCTGGGCCTTCATCCAGGACGCCCTCCCACAGCGCAAACATCTGATCACGGTCTTTATCGGTTAATAAAAAAAAGTAGAGTATGCGCCCTGATACGCGCTTAGTTATCTGTGGATTATGTGTGGGCATTATGGGAATAATGTCAGAAAACGTACTCCGAGTGTGGAAATGAACAAAAGGATGAGCTGGAAGAAAAAATCGAGGAGTAATGTTGGCTTTCACAGTTGCTACCGGTTGGTGCCACACACGTGCCAGACCTACAGCTGGGGTTTTTCAAATGTAGGCTGATGACATCGTGCTTTGCATATCTCTGTCTACATCTGTCTATTTCTGTATCTACTTACACATGTAAAATTGGAGTCTGCGTCCCCAGCCCTATTTATTTATTATGTGTTACCGTAGTAATATTTGTATGTATATTACAGTTCAGTTAAGGGCAAGGCTGGGATTGTCTTGGTTACGAGTCACCACTTGACTCTGCACAGCCCAGCACAGAGCCCGCCCCGCGGTCGGTGCTCAGGCAGTGTTTATGCGATGAATGAATGAATCGGTTCTATTTTGACTCTTTCCAGAGGCTGTAGGGAGCCTCGAAAAGGTGGATGCCATGGAACACTCCAGGCTTCCCCTCAGCTCTGGGCTTTTGCACAAGCTGTCTCCTCTGCCTGGGGCGCTTCTGCCCATTTCCTCCTGTTCATCCTCCAGATCGCAGGTGCCCCCTCCTCCAGGAAGCCCTCTGTGCTTTTGCAACACCCCCCCACACCCCACTCTCAGGTTATCTGAGAATGGCTCTTTCACCACTGGACTGTGAGCCCCAGGAGGGGAGAGCCAGGCCTGTCTTGGTCACCACTGTGTCCCCAGTGCAGGACCAGACACAGAGTAGGGCCTCAGGGACCATGAGAGGAATGAAGGACTAAATATATTGGCCCCAGTATGCCCCCCGCCCAGCACGTCGGGTCATGGGCACGTCCGGTCGCTGACAGCCTCTCTGCCCACAGTTCCGGAACTTTAAGATCATCTACCGACGCTACGCGGGCCTCTACTTCTGCATCTGCGTGGACGTCAATGACAACAACCTGGCCTACCTAGAGGCCATCCACAACTTCGTGGAGGTGAGTGCGGGTGGCGCTCAAGCACTGGGAACCGGCGCGGGGCTCCTCTCCCGGGATGCTGGGACTCTCTCCTCTCCCTCCCCGGGGCAGAGGGGGCGACTGGGTCTTTCTCTAGCCACCCCCGTTTCTTTTTGTCTTTATGCCGCCAGCTACGTCCCTCTCCGTCTCTCTCTGACCGTGCGTCTCTGTCCCTTTCTCTCCCTCTGCCTCAGTCTGTCGCCTGCTGCCATCATCTGATGACCTTCGTTCTTGTTTCTCTGTCTTTTCACCATCTCTGTCTTTCTCCCTCTCCCTCCATCCCCGGCTCGGTCTCTGTCTAGCTGTCTCTCTTTCTCTCCGCCGGCCCCGTCTCTCTCTGTCTTTCGCTATCTGTGTGATAACCTCTGTCCCTGTCTCTGTGAGCCTCTCTCTCCCCGCCCGTCTCTCACCATCTGTCCCCCTCTCTCAGGTCTTGATGACCTTCGTTCTTGTTTCTCTGTCTTTTCACCATCTCTGTCTCTTTCTCCCTCTCCCTCCATCCCCGGCTCGGTCTCTGTCTAGCTGTCTCTCTCTCTCTCCGCCGGCCCGTCTCTCTCTGTCTTTCGCTATCTGTGTGATAACCTCTGTCCCTGTCTCTGTGAGCCTCTCTCTCCCCGCCCGTCTCTCACCATCTGTCCCCCTCTCTCAGGTCTTAAATGAATATTTCCACAACGTCTGTGAACTGGACCTGGTGTTCAACTTCTACAAGGTGGGCTCCCGGCAGAGACGAGGGTCGGGGAGCCGGAGGCGGGGCAGGAGGACGGGCCGTCACCCCCCCACACACACACTCCCCGCCGCCCAGTGCCTCAGCTGGTGTCCATGTCCTGGCTCTCGGGCCCCGGGGCCCCCAGCTTCTGAGGTTCAGACCAGCACCCCAGGCTCCTTCGCTCACACCGGGCTCTCTCCTCTCCCCACTTCACTCAGGTGTACACGGTCGTGGACGAGATGTTCCTGGCCGGTGAGATCCGTGAGACCAGCCAGACGAAGGTGCTGAAGCAGCTGTTAATGCTGCAGTCCCTGGAGTGAGGTGGGCACCCCCACCGGCCCCGGACCCCGGCCTCGCCTGCTCGCTCCCCCTTTCCAGGTCTGGGGCCCACCCCAGCAGCCCCCTCCCTCAGCTGCCCAGGAGGAAGGCACCCAGCTGGGTCTGGGCCACGAGAGAGGAGACTGCACCCCACCGCCTCTGGGCCCCAGCTGTGGGCAGAGGCCACCTCGCGTGTGCTGAGTAACTGTGCCGTTGTCGTGTGATGCTGTGAGTGTGCGTGTGTGGAGCCCTCAATAAACCTGTGGTCCCCACCTGGCCGTGTGTGTTTGTGTCCTTGCCTGTCTTCGCAGGAGCCGTGGGCACTCAGGACGCCCTGCTGACATGACATCAGTCAGTCAGTCAACAAACAGTCCTCACTGTGCTGAGCAGGGCGGGGCCCCAGGCGCGTTCGCAGCTGCTCCTGCTCACAGAGGGCCCGCAGACCAGAAGCGGTGACAGATTTCACACCGGACACTTGCTACTAAAATGATAACATTCACAGCTGACACTCGGTAGCACTGGGCGCCCCCCAGATGTTCTCGGCATTGGCATGTGCTATCTTGCTTTGTCCTCACGAGCTATGAGGAAGGACTGTTAGTACCCCCACTTTTCGGGTGAGCTCAGGAAGGTTAAAAGGCTCTCCCAATGTCACGGCTAGTTTTAGCTGAGGCAGGTTTGTTCCAAGCTGGTTAGGAGCCCAGGCAGGCGGTTCCAGACCCTCATTTTTAACCATGAGGCCGGATGGTTGTTGCAAGGGCAGGCGCCAGGTCTGGTGTTTCGTGGTTCTCGGCGATAGCACGGCCGGCACTTGGGGGGACAGTTCTTCAGTGGGAGTGTCCCAGGCATGGCCAACTGTCGGCCCCCATCCACAGATGGCCAGCAGTGGCCCTCTGGCCCTAATGACAAGAGAAAACACCCCGCTGTTGCTAGTGCCCTCTCCAGGGGCACCGCTCCCCTCCCTCGGGCCCACCGAGGGCAGGGTGATGGCTGCCGGCCGTACCCGTGACCGGCACCCTCGGCAAGCTGAGGACTGCGCCAGGCACGTCAAGTCAGCTCTCGCGCGTGTCGCATGGCCTCGCCTCAGTCTCGCAGCTCGGCCACCTCCGCACCGTGTAACGTTCGGGCGAGTCACGTCGCCTCTCCTGCCTCAGCCTCTTCATCCGGAAAATGGCTTGACCATAGTTTCCTATCAGGCCGTGCTCGGGGGTTAAATGAATGAATCGGACAGTTCGGGATAGTGCCTAGCGTTACTCGAGCGTATTCCCCCCACAGACGGTAAGCGCCTGCTGTATGCACGGCCCTGTCAGAGACGGAAGTTATCTGCAGAGATGGATGGTGGGCGCCAGCTCCAAAGATGGTTATTTTACACGTGGGGAAGGGAGGCTTGGCGAGGTGAATTCCTTTATCGATATAGTTGTTACTACAGTGTATTTGTTTCTGATTGCTGCTGTGCAAATTGCCACAAACTTGGTGACTAGAAAACAACAGGGCTTTGCGCCTGCCCGCTTTGGAGGGGCGAGGGCGGGGGCGGCCTCCAAGCCGAGGCTTGGATCTGCAGCCGGGGGTCGGGGTGAAAGGTGAGCTCAGCCCTGAGGAAGCAGCAGGTTTGAGGACTATGCTGAGGTTATTAAGACTTGGGGACCGTATTTGTTTCCTGGGGCTGCCATAACAAGTGACCACAGACTGGGTGGCTTAAAACAAAAGAAATGGATTTCCTCACCGGTCCAGGGGCTGGAAGTCTGAAACCGAGGTGTGGGCGGGGCAGGGCGAGGCTCCCTTAGAAGGTTCTAGGGAAGGACCCTTCCATGCTTCTTCCGGTTTCTTGTGACTCCTGATACTTGGCTGGTGGCTGCATCGCTCCAACCTCTGCCTCCGTCTTCCCAAGGCCATTTCCTCTATGTCTGCATCTCCTCTTCTAGCTCCTAGAGGGACTTGTCATTGGATTCAGGGCCCTCCAGGATAATCTAAGATGATCTTACCTCAAGGTCCTTAATGACGTCTGCAAAGACCCTTTTTCCAAGGAAGGTCATTTTCACAGGCTCCGGGATATGGATGTAATCTTTACCATCAACCCACTAGAGTGAGCGTTAGCCATCGGAGGTCAGCCAGGAAAGGTGGCCAGGAGGCCTTTGGACACACGGACCTGAGGCTCCGAGAGGCAAGGATGCAAAGAGCATTTGCTTATTCACATATTTGACAGATGTCTCTTGGGCATCTACTATGTACCAGGCACCATTTTAATAGCAGGTAAAAGAACAATAAGCAGTACAAAGACCTGCCCTCGGGGCGCTCGTGTTGTCCTAAGGGGGCAAGTCCACGTCTAGTGCGTCAGTAAGCGAGGAGGCAAAGCAGAGTGACGGGGCGGGAAGCCTGGCGAGGGCACCGCTGCTCTCGATGGGCTGTCGGGAAGACCTTGCTGGAGGAGGTGACGTTCAAACGGAGACTGGAGGAGGTTAGAGAATGAGCCACGGAGCATGTTAGGAAGAGTATTCTAAGCAGCAGGGCCAGTAAGTGCAAAGGCCCTGAGGCAGAACAGAACAGGAGGCCAGCATGGCTGGAACAGAGTGAGCGAAAGAGAGAGGAGGCCGTGTGTTCAGAAGAGACTGGGGCTGGGGTAGGAGGGGAAGGCCGATCGTGCTGGGTCAGACCAGCCGTGGCGAAGACCCCGGGCTGCTCTTGAGTGTGACGAGAGCCACAGGAAGGGCTTTCTGTGTGGAGAATTTGGGGAAGTTGGTGACAGTTTATTGAAATAGAACTCACGTATCATACAATTCACCCATTTAAAGTGGACGGTGCGGTGGTTTTTCATATACTCACAGAGTGTGTCACCGTCATCACAATCCATTTAGAACATTTTCATTGCCCCCAAAAGGAACCTGTACCCTTAGCTGCCATCCCTCAGTCCCTCCAGCCCTAGGTAATCGACCAGTACACTAATCCACTTTGTGTCTCTGTGGATTTGCCTATTCTATGGAATCACCCAACGGGTGGGGCACGGGAGTGTCTTGAGCTGAAGAGGGACAATGATCTGCCAGATCTAACACGAGGAAGTCCGGGGTGGGAGGCAGGAGGCCAGCGTGGAGGTGATGACGATACAGATGAGAGATGATGCCGGCTTGGGCCAAGGTGGGGACGAGGTGGTAAGAGAAGTGAGCAGCTTCTGGACGCGCGTGAGGGTGGATCCGGGAGGGTTTGCTGACACCTGACGCAGGGTCGGGAAGTAGCCAAAGATCAGCCCGATTTTACAACCCGAGTGTCTGGAAGACGAGAATCTGTTTTTCTAGAAGCGAAAAGACAGTGGGAGGAATAAATCGAATTTGAGCTCGTGGGCCTCTGACGGAAGATGCTGTGGAGACAGTGGTCACATGGGTCTGGAGCTCGGGACAGAGGTCCAGTCCGGAGATAAAACATTTAGGGGGCAACAGAACACGCTGATGGTGTTGACCACCGGGAGGTGAGCTGAGAGCATCAAGGGAATAGGCGGGGGAGCGATCTGCAGGCTGAGCTCAGGAAAAAAGAACTCAGAAAACGAAACGGGGAAGGAGCGACAGGGAGAAGCGGCTAGTGCAGCGTCCTCGAATCAGGAGGAAAAGCGTGTTCAGGAGGAAGAGGGGGTTCGCGTGTGGAATGCCATCGAGGCCGCTAGGACTCCGCTAGAACGGCTCGATTAAACCGCCTCGTGTGGCAAGCGCACAGAGTAACCGGATGCTTTATTTCGCACTCCCTGTGTTGCTGGTGGGAGCACAAAAGGGTCCAGCCCCTCCAGAAAACAGTCCGGCAGGTCCTCGTAAAGTTAAACATTATCCTTGCTTTATGACTCAAGCCATCCCACTCCTACTGATTTAGCCGAGAGATATGAAATTTCCGTACACATCTCTATGCGAACCCAGAGAAGCAGAAACTCATGTTTATGCAAGACTTGTACGCGAATGTTCATAGCAGCACTGTTCACAATAGCCAGAAGGCGGAGACAAGCCAGATGCCTATTAAGCGATGATGGGTAAGTACGATGTACTATATAGACACACGATGGACTATTTTTCAGCCATAAAAAGGAATGAAGCACTGATAGATGCTACGACATGAATGAAGCCTGAAAACACGTGAAGTGAAAGAAGCCAGGCACGAAAGACCACATAGCATAGAATTTCATTTACAGTATATTAAATGTCCGTAATAGGCAAATCCATAGAGACAGAGAGTAGATCAGCGTTTGCCAGGGGCTGTGTTGAGGGGAGAGGAATCGGGGGTCACTGTTTTACACATATGGGGTTCCCTCTTTGGGGTGATGACATGATCTGGAGCTAGATAGTGACGATAATTACACAACCTAGTGAATATATTAAAACACGACTGAATGAAAGGTGACTTTTAGGACGGCATGTGAATATACCTCAGTTTCAAAAAGATGAAAGCTTCTGAGTGATCAGAGGAAAGAAGAGCCGAGAAAGGAAAGGGGTACAAGTGCCCATAAGCCCCTCTGGGAAGTGTTGCTGTAAAGACAGAATCGGGGCTGCAGCTGGAGGGGGTCGTGAAAGCGAGCAGCATTTTTATGTTGACGGGAATGGTGCAATCGACCAGGGAGAGAGCCCGAAGATGCAGGAAGGTGACGAGGCTGGAAGAGATCAGGCCGGCGGATCTCAGGGCTCAAGGAGGAGATGGCTCATTCCTGGGAATGGTTGGGAAGGCAGGATGGTTAGGCATCCGGGCAGGTAGGGGCGGTGACGGGAGCTTAAGACAGTTCTTCCTCCGATGGCTTTCATCTTCTAGGAGACTTGGGAAGCAAGGCCATTGGCTGGGAGGGAGAAGGCAGCTGCCGCTACAGCCAGCAACCCTGAGGCCATAGCAGAAGGCGGGGCCTGTGAGTTGGAGCCCACTTGCCTCTTCCACGCCTCTCCCAGTTGAGGGGGGCCCAGGATGGCTACATCTTCGGACTTTTCGAGACACATTGACAACCTAGAATTTTTCTGAATGTCAAGTCTTCTCACGTTTTCATGTTTGTCTTAAAAAAAAATCTTTTTTTTAAAACACACAGGGTCAAAGAAACATGTCCAATGGCCAGATTGAGCCCTCGGCCACCACATGTTTGCCACTTCCGGTGCAAGTGGACCAAAGCACAGGCCAGAGTCCGTTCTGGGATTTTGAGGAATTCCAGTGTTTAAGTGGGGAACAGGGAGGAACCTGAGAAAGTGGCCAACAAGGAAGGTTCTGGAACATGAGTGGAGTGCCTGTTTGAGGCCCAGCAGCTTCTAAGAGTTTTAAAGGCATAATCGCATT